GCCGCACGGAACTCTTTCCCGCCGCGCTTCGTCTTCCTCCTCCTCCGCCATTAGCTCTCGCCCCTCCCGCCCTCCGCGCCGCCCCGAGGAGAGAAGAAGTGAGAGTAATGAGCGGCGCCCAGTCGCCCACAGCAAATCGCAGGAAGCCGTCGGCCTGCCCCGCCGCTCCGCTGTGAGTGGGAATGGAACCCGCCGCCGCCGCCGTCTCGAAGGCCGACGAAGCCCGCGCCGATTTATTTTAAATCGGAGAAAACGAGAGGGAAGATATAGGGAGAGTGATTAACTCTGAGCAGCAAACGTATACCGAAAATACTTTATTATTATTACTTAAAAATAAAAATTGTCAGTCGAGGAAAATGAGACGTGGCGAAGGATATGTGACAGTAGCAGCGAAACTGGTTTTAACATTTTCTGGGTCGCACGTAAATTTACTTAAACTAATGGAAATATTTGCAAATATAATTTGATTTATATGTCTTAGTTCATAAATGATATGTCATACATACAACGGTAATACAAAAGAAATTATTTGGATTACCAAGGTCCCAAATCTTTTGTACGTTAGAACAAAGACAAGTTTTTTGTATCAAACTTACACAGTACAGTCCTTACAAACGATTGTGCCTACTTTATAAATTGCGAAGCAATTGTAAACTATTTCCTGTGTAACACACGAAGGAAATCGTGTGCAATTACGAAGAAATCCCTTCGTAGGCTTGCAAAGCAGCCTAATCCTCCGCAAGGAATTATCAGTAGTACAGTATGCGGGCGTACCTATATTCCCCGTGTCTTTTCGTGCTATATCGGACGGTGACTTTACACATAGTTAATTGATTGATAAAATAAAGAACCCCGCTAAAAAAAATAAGTTCGTTACTTTTCCGCTCAAGTAGTGTACAGCAGTGTATGACACCTAAGCCACTCCTCTGCGCATGCGCACGTGCCGGGGCCTGCGGAGCTTAGACTCTGCGTCCGCACCCATTTGATCGCTTTGCACTATCGACATCAACTGTGGGGGAGCCGTCGGCGTCGGCGTCGGATTGGTTGGTTTTGTTGGATCTTCCGACGACTTCGTCTGCTCCGTCGTCGGTTCCGTCGCTTTGGTCGGATCCGTTGGCTTCGTTGGAACCGTCGGCTTTGTCGGATCCGTCGGCGTTGATGGAACCGTAGGTTTCGTCGGTTCCGTCGGTTTCGTCGGAACCGTAGGCTCCGTTGGAACCGTAGGCTTAGTCGGTTCCGTCGGTTTCGTCGGAACCGTAGGCACCGTTGGAACCGTAGGCTTAGTCGGTTCCGTCGGTTTCGTCGGAACCGTAGGCACCGTTGGAACCGTAGGCTTAGTCGGTTCCGTCGGTTTCGTCGGAACCGTAGGGAACCGAAGGCTTAGTCGGTTCCGTTGGCTTGGTTGGAAGCGTAGGCTTCGTCGGTTCTGTTGGCTTGGTTGGGAGCGTCGGCTTTGACGGGCCCGTGGACTTTGTTGGATCCGTTGGAACCGGCGACGTCGGCTGGGTCGGTTCTGTCGGAGGGGCTTCGGTTGGCTTGGAGTCACCTGTCGAAATACGCTTCTTTTATGAGTATGCCCTAGTAACACAAAACCGTCGCACGTAGTGTAATTGTTTTCAATCGGCCAATTATTGTGACGTCAACGAAAATCCAATAGTAAAGGGCTAGGCTTTTCCACAGTCAGACGATTATTCCTGGTCTATCAAATTTAAACTATCTACCACTCTATTGTATTTTTATCGATTCCTGTTCGAATCCACAATAGTGGTTTTTCGCTTCCATTACGATAGCTGGCCGATAAAGATTTTCGTCCCGAGGAAAAAAGATAGTATAGGGATAGAATCATTTTTCATTTCATATAGCACCGATAGTACGCATATTTTTTGCTACTGTTGTCTGACAATCGTATGACAGTTCTATGCTAAGTTACTAGGGTAGTCTTAGTCACGTGATTGAAAAATAGAAAATAGCCATACTCACAGTTTGACACTTTGCCGAGCAAAACACAGATAAGAATGATCAACAACAAATAAAAAAGAATTTTGAGTATCCATAAAGTTTTCGACTCATTAAAAGAGGATAGAATCCTGAAAAAGAAAACAAAATCATTAGAGGGCACAGCAATTAAACAATGCATTCTACTAAGAAACATACGGTACGACAGTGCTCTTTTCACTGGAAAAACAAAGGAAGGCCTGATTGCCTTTGAAAAGGTATTAAAACCCTTCGATTCCTCCCTTTGATTTTCCAGTGTTGAAAAATAAACTTCTCCATTACCTTTCATATAATGAATCGTGGCCACCATTGAGGGGTTCGTAGCCTGACGTTTCAGGCATGTTATTTTGCGTTGTTAAGCGTGGTGTTTAGTACGTTGACCTATCGGCGACAACTCGCACACTGTTGGCAGGCACGGCTCGCACGACAGGACGATATGTTTCGTCCCTATCTCACGTGATAAGATAAGATCCGAGGGGGTCTCAACTCCGGCAATCTGGCGTACACCCACCCCGGCAATCTGCGATAATCTTCGGCAATCTCTAGGTAATCGGCTGCGAAAGCCATGCTTTCTGCCTACATTCAGGGTGACATTCGTGCGTTTTGCCTAGTTACAGGCGATTTATGCCCTTAAAGCTAAATATTAGTCAAGCAATCTGGCAATCTTGGCAATCTGGTGTACATCCTACAACTGAGTTGAGGCCGAGGCCCCCTCGATGAGGTCACTACATCAGAACGATTCGTTATTGCAGATGCAGAAATTGTTATTCTATCCCAGGTAGCACCTCGGCAGACCGGCATTACTCTGGAAACTCAAGTGTCGTACAGTATCACACTTATAAGTGCAGTACCATGGTGTCCTACAGTTATAAGTGTAGGACCAAGGTGTACTGCAGTTAAAAGTGTAGGACACCATGTGGCCGACAGTTAAAAGTGTAGGACACCATGTGTACTACAGTTTTAAGTGTAGGACACATGGTGTCCGACACCTCAAGGTGCCAGCTAACGCAAGTGTCGGACACCCCTTGTCCCACAGTTATAACTGTAGGACACATTGTGTACTACACTTTTAACTGCAGTACACTTTGGTCCTACACTTTCAACTGTAGGACACCATGGTACTGCACTTATAAGTGTGATACTGTACGACACTTGAGTTTCCAGAGTAAAACTGTCTAAAACGCGCCTGAAAAGCGCATGTACGCGTGTGTACGGCTAAAATGCGCTTCTACGCGCCTAACATGCGCTTTTTAGCGTTTTTTAGACGGGGAATAAAATACCAGGTGGCTGATTTACGCCGCGCACTTTTGTACTATGCAACCCGCCTGCACGGCTCCATCCGGGACTGCATACCCACCAGAACGTCTGTCCTGTCAAGCATAAACTTGCGACGGTTAACATAATCGAACTGATTCCTAACGGATTGAGAAAGAACGTCTCATTCTCAAGCTAACGGAGCTATTATTCGGCTATTTCAAATGAAGCGCTCAAAAAACAGCTGCAGCCAGCTGCTATCCCCCCCTCCCCCACCCCTCTCTTGTGTGTCTACTGCTTGGGGCTTAGTTGTGGCAAAAATTTTGCATCTGTACAAGTTTGATTGTTTGCTTGTAATATATTTCCGTTCTTATCAATTTAATAGAAAAATTAGTAAATAATGCGTTTTCGAACCAGTCAGGTAACGTCATGAATCCTCATCCACACATATGTGTTTCTAAATAAGGCAATATTACGACTAACCTAAAACTTTCTTATGTTTTTGTTTTGGTCTTCATATAGATATAGGCGTAAATTTAAAGGACTGAAAAACCATAAGTCATCGAAAATTTAACGATATGATTAAAGTTCCATTGAGATGTTTGTATTTGCCCAAGAGGCTTCTGCAGACAAATCTTATTTCGACCCAGCAGAGTGATCAACGAATCAAAACTCAAAACAGAATTACAAACTCATTTCGTACTTATAGCAGTAAATATGAAAAATATGGCAATAGTAGAAGTGGCGGAAGTTTCTGGGAACCAGATAAAAGAGGTGGATTTGCATCAAAGGACGATTTGACCACTTGGCAACATGCAGTACGAGGTGCAAAGATGGTTCCCAATGAAACCAAAAAGCTGTACAATGAACTTACGGATTACCTCAGTACAGACTTACCCATTGAAGGATGTCCACAAGGTAAGTATTCTTTCCACAATTTTGAACTTTTAGCCATATTTGAGTTTGTGATAATGCATCTTCACCTGTTTTCTAGATAATGTTGTTGATAAGTTTTTTGAATTCGGTAATCCGGAAAGTCTTGAACGCTGGGATGTATCCTGTGACCAGGATTATGAGGGAGGATTTAGTACTGCAAACCTATCTTTAATGCCATCAGGAACTGGTTTGTTCTCTGGCCATATTTCTACTCAACTTCCCAAAACTGGGGAGATAGAAAATACAGGTTATGCAAATTTGAGATATATACCAGATCTGGTAAGTAACAAAAATGTTAAGGGTTACTTTTTTCAAGTAAACATATTCACAATTACAATTAAGTTTTCAAATGCAAATTACATTTAAAATTTTCAGCGAGCATTTGGTCGTGGTAAATATTACTTCTTTGGTGGTTACACTCACATGGTACTACGTGTGCGGGGAGATGGTAGAAATTATATGCTCAACCTCCACCCTCATGTACATTTTGATCTTGAATGGTTCAATTTGTTTTCCTATGTTCTTCACACAAGAGGAGGGCCTTATTGGCAGGAGACAAGGGTATGGCAACATCATTTTGCAATGCATTTAAAGGTCATATTTTTGAAGCTGCAAACTATAACACATCTTTCTCATGCATTACAGATACCCTTCTCAAAATTCTTCCTCCACCATAAAGGGCGAGTACAGGATAAACAATTTCCTCTTGATACAACTGACGTCAAAAACATTAGTATAACTTTAATGGACCAAAATGAAGGTCCATATAGTCTTGAAGTTGACTACATAGGATGCGTTCGTGACCCAAATCATAAAGAGATATTTGCTTATGAATCGTACCAGGTTGAGAGATGGACTCCCAGAAATTAAATACCTTTCAGATTGTGAAGTTTTAATTATAATAGGTATACATAACACCCAGATGTCTTGATTTCTCACTTTTTCCATTCATAATTGTAACAGTCTTAAGTGCTGCATGATACATTTAAAATGTATAATATGAAATTGAAAAATAAATTACGTATATAAAAACAAATTCTGTCAAATGTGTCCGTCTTTGTCAACTAGGCAAGTTTTTAAAGTTTCTTAGACTTAAGAAATCTGTAGGTCCCTCTAGTAAAAATGTAGCTCATGGCAGAAGCTACTGTAGTGCCAGCTGTGAGGTACCTGCAACCAAAACCAAAAGTACTAAAAAATGACATTGATCCAATAAAGCAATTAAATTCATGTCAAATCAATATTTGAAACTAGAGAAATATTTGAAACAGAGAATTTCACTCACCACAGACCATGAAGAGCTGCATGGTCCACATAATGGAAGACTGGAGCTCCTAGTGTACAAGCAACCAATGCTAGCTGAACTAAAGTGTTAAATTTACTAATCCCTGTTGGCGCTAGCTGGGCTGTTGCATGTGTGGCATCAAAATAACGTTGGAAAGTACGCTGTAATGAAAGTTTTGATTTAACAAAATGTGCTTCCTCATATACAGAAAATATTAAAACAACGACATACTGGATGAGGTAATGATTTATATCGAATGTAGGAGCCAGCACCCACAAGTGCAACATCTCGGGCAACAATCAATGATGTCAACGCCACTGCAATGAAATAAGAAGGGATTTGAGAAACACATTAATCATTTTAGATGCATTTTTTTGATGAGAAATTGTTTGTATCTTGACAAAATAATGGTTTTAACTATAACTTACCAGGAATAAGATCTACATAAGTCAGGGACAAAAAAAGTGTTGCAATTAAAACTTTGTCTGCCATGGGATCCAAAAAACTTCCCAACTTTGAAGACTGGCTTCTCCATGTACGAGCAATCCATCCATCTAGCTAAGAAAATAAGATATGTTAAAAACAAAGTGGTGTGGTTGTAGTTTTAACAATTACATAACTGAATACATACTACATCTGTTACTCCAGCAACCACTAACAGCCCAAGTGCCAAATTGAAATCAGACTGCACAATGAGATAGCCTAAATAAGGAGAAAATACTATTCTTGTAACACACAAAACATTTGGAACAGTCCAAATGTTTTCACGCTGAAAATTTAGGAAAAGAATAGAATTTAAAACCAAATTTTAAGGGGGTGATGATGATTAGTTTGAATTTATTACAAACCTCTATAATATTTTCCATTCGTTCTTTCATCATGGTCTTAGTGCCACGGATGTCCTCAATTATACGTTGCTTTGACTCTTTCAAGCGTTGTTGAGTCTTTTTAAGTTTTTCTTGAGTTTCCTTGATCCTATAATGAGTTTGCTTTAGTCTCAAATGCTTACGGTTAGGTAAAACCGTGTCCAAAAAGCCAACTTGTTTGACATGGCGGCAAGATATGTTATTACTAGCAATAATTCGTTTCCGGTGATCAGTGCTCAATGGACATGACAGCCGTAAAAGGCTATCTTTGTCAAACATTAATACATTTTTTCTCATCTGTACATAACGTCAAGAAAGAAACATATAAAATAAACTGATTCTATTAAAAACATTGTATTCATTGTGGGCAAAGTGGACAAATAAAATCTTACCAGGGATACGGTGCGAAAATTTGACAGATAACATTTGGCCAGAGAGCTATTTCTTGCACAGAAAAGTAGAAAGTGTCCCTCCATAGTTATCATCTGAAAAATTAAGACATGAAATAGATGACATAAAAAAAAAAAAAACAACGATTTAATAATAAACTACCATGGCATAACCTCCTCACCAACTAAATCGCATCTCACGTATTACGCACGTAAATTCTTTTACAGTACATGTAGTGTAGTTCCTAAGATTTGAAAGAAATGAGACTATATGATAAATTACCTTGATTTACCTGACGTTGTCTAGAACGCCTGTATTTTCTTTGTTTCTTACACAAATAGCAGAACACTCAGCCTGATTTGGTGTTGTTTGATCCGAGCAGAGAGACCGGTGCTCGATTACTCGACTTAAGCTCGAAGCCAGCCGGAAGCGAAGAGTTAAACACGCGGGGCGGGGGCGTGGGAAACGGGGAAACGCGAATGGTAAAACCGAGTAGTCCAAGCTAGGTCCGGTGTGGGTGGTGGAAACTTTGGAAATTTATGGAAACTTGGTGAGAAGCACTTATTTAAGGTCACTTCTTTTAATTAGTTATCATTTGGATTTGGGTTTGTGTGATAGAGCTTTCCAAATACACTTGACCAGTTGTTAAAACATACATCAAATCTATCAAAATCATGAATGATATGACACAATAACATAAAACACAAGGAAAAATCAGAATTATATACAGAAATGTTTTTTTTATTTCTTAAATTATGCAAACATAGCAATCAGTACAAATCTTTTTAACAAGCACAACTCAACTACAATATTGCTTTTTCAAAACAAAATGAAAGGTGAAAAGTCTAGTTAAGATTCCATTAAGTCTCATTTAAGGGCTGATAATTCGTCACAATTTAGCTCTTTAACACTCCTCCACCGATTGTAGTAAACACAGAATGCAGAGATATAAAATACAGCATTCTAAACAAGAGTCAGTCTGACAGGCCTGGTTGTGTACAACTATAAGATGTACCATTTCCTTTGCCTTTACCTTACACATTCAGGTTTGTTACTACTAGATCATATTAATACCATGTTTACAAACTTGAAAGATACTTGCTAAAAGTCTAGAAGATCTCCAAAATTAGCATGTTAAGCTAGGGAGGAAACAGTTCCTGACTGGGTGGATGATGAAATGAAACCAACTAAAGTTGAAACTGAAATATTGATGAAACGCACAAGCAACAGTTAAGTTAAACGGAATCTATGTCAGAATCACAGGTAGCAACTCACATCAGATGAATCATATCTTACAAAAAATGTTAATGACTTAAATAGAGCACATTGGCTAATACTACTAATGAAACACACTGAAACAATATACAACCCTGAAGTGAGTGGCTAAGATGTGATTGAGACAAGAGACATCTTAAATGCACATGAGCAAAGCATCACTTATGACCATATCACCACAGTGGGTTTTGAATTTAAAACTGTAGTACGTATCAAACCTACTCAAACTAGACAAACAAAACACTAATAATTTAACTTTTGGAAAAACATGGGCTGCTTACAACTGGCTATGAGAATCAAGTTGTATGTGTTATTGGCACCTGAGTAGACAAAAATTCTACCAGTGATGTGAATACAAGGAAAACAAATGCATGAAAACTGGGAGGGCCCCCAGAATGCGGTAATAAATAAGGAACAGAACAGTCCCAGCGCACTCAATCCGAGACAAGAGCAAGGGCTTGATTCATAATCAATCAACACAGCACCAAAGCAACACACCAAAAATCAAGTAATTTCTTTGCTTAGGTGACGTTGTGGGAGTGACCCCCACTCGCTACATTGGGTGTAGTCCATAACTAAAAAGGAACCAGAAATTAAAACATTGCCAGTTAACATTTAGGCTAATCTGCATCTATCAGGAGAACAAGCCTTGCTTTTTAAAATTTTTCTTCCATTCATATTACAATGTTCACGGGCAACTGAATAAGGAAGAAAAATAGGCTTTAAGACGCAGCACATTAAGCAATTCAGTCTGTCTAGATGGACAACACTGACACTGGACACAGCTAAGGCAGTGCTCACCATAGTAAAACTATTATCATCATCTCTAAAAACTTCCAATTCTAAAAACCATTACTATATAGGGCAAAAACCTACCTTCCTTTCAAATTTAATTTAAAAACATCAAGCAGATGTTGTTGACCATAAATTTGAAGGAAAATGGGTTGGAAGGACTTAACATTTGTGCCTCAGGTTTGCTTGTTGACTAGTGGCTGTGTCGCAGAGAGTGCGCTGAAATGGCCCAGAAAGAAACCTAACAAACACCAACACATCAAGCCGATGAAGTGCCATTAACCAATGTTTCTTTAGGTTTAATGTCAGATGCTACTGGTGCCCCACTTCCATTGCCTCCCCCTTTCTTGGAAGCAGGCGGTCGCGGTCCGCGGCTCTTCTGATCCCGTGGTGGTTTCGGTTTTGAGACATCACTGGTTGTTGCAGTATTGGACACTTCGTTGCTCACAGATGAGGATAAGGGTGCACCTGCACAAACAAACAAAATCAAAATTAAAGATTTTTCTTATTTACAGAAGGACATAATTTATTACATTACTTATTAAGTAAGCATGATGTGGTGTCAGTGCAACTTTCTCAAAAACTAGGAAATTTTAACAAAGTCTTCTCAGAACAGTAACAGAAGAACATCCAGAACTCACTAGCTAACTAGGTACTAAGTAGGTAAGTAAGTACATGTATTAATCCAGTTAATTATATGACAAATTTCAAACAAAAATACCAAGTTAGTCACAAGCCTCATGTATTTATCAACAGTAAGCACTACAATCACAATATTTATAAGGGTAGCTTTTTTGTTTCAGAAATGGCATAACAGATGATAGGCGCCAAGAATGGTTAGTACAATTGCATTAGGCAGCTACAGCTTGCAATACTACACTGTAAGAGGAAGGGGGAAATCAGGAAATGTTAGGGGTATTGACTGTAGTTTACCAAACCAATTCCATAAACCATTAAACAAAAGTCCCAGGAACAGGTACAAATGAATGAACACCGGCTTATGCGTACCTGATTCAATATGGGCGGGTATAGATTGGTTTCCATCCCCGCTAGAATGACCAGGGTCATCTTTTTGGGACCCATTTTGACCCCCACTAGGACCACCACTTAGGCCACCATTGGGGCCCCGGCCCCCACTGGAGCCATCCCGGCCCACACCCTGAGGGTGATACCCTCCCTTTCTTCGCCTGCGTCGCGGTCGGCCAGATCCGTCCATACTTGAGACAGACTCTAAGGGGACAGACAACAACCCACCCATGACAGAACTGTTTGCACTCAATGTAAAATCATACTGCGATCTTGGTTGGGACTTAAAATAAAGCCAAGAATTTCTGATCAGGATTTGTGATGATCCTACTGTTGCCTTCTACATAGGCACCTTAAAATGACAGCAAGCAACAACAAAAAAAAGCATCACAGTAGACAAGTTTACTATAAACAGAAGGCACTGAGAAACCACCTATACAGTAATTGCATGAACAGAAGAAAATTTAAAATTTTGATTGGGGTCTTGACATGTAATAATTGCATCAAACTTGTACTTCTAAAAAAGTACAGAATAGTATGTGCAAAAGCAAGAAAAAAACAGGGGGGAAAGAGGGGGAAAGAGTGTGGAGGCTAGACTTCAACAAAACGTCCTAAGTAAAAGCACCCCACTGTCATCTAGCTGCTTTGAAATAAACAAGACATGACAATACAATACCTCTGTCCACACTAGAAGCTTCCTGGCTATCCATTACGGTGTCGTCGTCGTCCGTAACTCGTCGTCTCTCGTCGCGTCTACGGTTTTGCCGACGGTCTTCCCTCTCAGGCCCACGGCCACCTGGAAAATACACTAGGATCATTGCAAAATTTAAGTCACAAATGTCAAACAGATCCTTTACTCACACCCACACAAAAACACACCTCTATCAGATCTTCCACTCCTCTCATTATCACCATCACCTCTTTCACTTCTAAAGTCCCGTCTTGATGATCCAGAATGGGGATAATTCTGGGGACCATTCCCACTTGGAGGAGGGCCCCTAGAACCTGGTCCACTGTAAGATCCACGTGAGTAGCCTCCACCTCGAACTCTCTCATCAACTGTATCAGGAGTTTGGTGTCTTGAACCTGAGGTACATAAACCAAAAAAAGATTTCAATGACAAATAGTTGGTAGAATTTCTTGACAAAGAACAAAACCAATGATGTACCTGAATTGTATCTGCCATGAGGGCCACCATTGTTTCCACCTCTCCCTCTGCCAATTCCACTACCACCAGGACCACCACCTCTACTGCGCATTAGTCCGCCTCTTCCTCCTCCTCTGCCCAATCCTTCAAAATCAGAATTGTAGCCCCGATCATTACGCCTTTGAAGTGGAAAGTTTTGCATTGAACCCATGTTGGCACCATGCATGCTTCGCAGCTGTTGGTCTATCTCCAACTTTTCTTGTCGAAGTGCTTCTACCTCCTGAAAGTCCAAGAGAAGTGTAAAACACACTATACTGAACTAAAGAGGACAGATTTATCATACCGATATTACAGCCACACTAACCTTTAAATGGCCTAAATGATACTCCAAGAGTACTTTAGCATTTGCTATACTCTCCATGGTACCAACAAATACAAATGGAACTTGACCTTCTTCGCGAGGAATAGTAGGCTCTGGTTCATTATCCCCTTCAATTTTCACCCGAACCTAAAATAAAAGGATGTAAGATAGATGAATAAATAATAAATTATAATACATGAAATATGCAATATTTTGCGCCACTTACAACTCCACTTTTATCAACAATTTCTTGAATTATCCGTCCATTTTTCCCAATTACTTTACCAACAAGAATTCGAGGAACTTGGATTGATTCTTCACCATATTCTAACATGCTTCTCGCCTTCTTAACAGCATCATCACTCTAAGAAAAAAAGAAATCGAAGATCAGACAAAAACAAACTCTAAACAAACATAATGAAACTACAGTTATCATTTGCTACCCCTAAAATATCACCAGTGACAGATGAGTCAAGTAACACTAAGATCAATGACCTTACCTCGCCATATATTTTAAAAGTACAGGACTTTTCTTCCAATTCTATATTGGTGATGCCTTCAACCTTCCTTGCCTGCTGGATGTTTGTACCATGGGCACCTATTGCTAATCCCATCAAATCATCCCGTACTGAGAACTCATCCGAAAACCTGAACAAATTGCAAAAACATTAATTAAAATATCGACATAAGAATTACTACTGCTCCTTAAAGGCAAGAAGTACTGTGAGCTGCTCGTCTACAATTAAGTACTGAAACAGGAAATAAAACACTGAAGCATTTCCAGCAATACAGAAATACTACAAAATTATTAGAGATGTAATGATGGAGAGCAAAATATTTTTGACATGAATGGCACATTGCCACATTAAACTAACACAGCATTCATTGTGTTTATGACCAAAGTCACAGTCAGAGCAGTGCCTTTCCTGGCTATTTTAATTTAAATGGTTTCAATTTATAAAATCCATAGAAGTTTGAAAGAGGGAGGTATCAAAAGCTTAAGATTAATATTGTAACATAGGTACTGAATTCAACATATGTATTAGAGAGTGTGCTGATATGGGAACTTTATGGAATATAAACAGCAAAGCAAATAGAACAATGTCAACGTGCGTACATCAGATGGTAGGAATACAAATCCTATCCTCAGAATAAGCATACATATACTGGTTGTAAAATCATGCAAACACTATTTATAAATCCATAATATTCACTTTTCTTTTTTAAGTTCACTATAACACCTCTACAGTGGTGTGCCTCATCCTGCTGGATTTGCCACCCCCCACATCCTGAATCCATAGTATATCTGACATCTACCCTAAATTGGAATCTGATTGTTGTGATGAGTTGAGTAAGTACACTGGTCAAATATGATTATCCAGTGTTATTAATAACTAGGAATCTGAACCTAAAGAAAATCTATGGTATAGCTCCAGGGGACTAATGGTGTGTGATTAATATAAGATACAAAATATGGTGAGCTGAAAAGATACAAAAGTTCATGACACCTTCCATAAGTTTCAGAAAACAACTCCATTAAATTGCTAGCAGTTCAACAGGGTAAAGAAAAGATGAAGTGAAAGATCAGGATTTCAAGGCTTCACCCTATAGGACAGGACAGAAAAATCAACAATATTTTGACATTGACAAATAATAACCAATTTCCTGAAAAACTTCAGTACATTGAGAAAGCAGAACAAGTTATGCTCCCACCACAACCACCAAGTGACCAACCCAGACCATTCAAAAATAGAGAAAATCCAGTAAGACAGGTGGCTAACACTAAAATTCACCCAATTGGCTTGTCCCTAGCTAACACCAACAATAATAAAATTAATTAATTACTGATGTTTACAAAAATATCATACCGGTAATTGCAATTAATACAGTATGTCATATAGCTTTAGAAGTGCTCAAAACCTAGAAGTCCATTTACCAAATTAAAAGTTACACATGTGTAAGACCAGGAACACAGCAGTTGCTTAGTAAATTAACTACAGTACTTCCATGTAACTAGAGCCACACACAATTTAATACTGCTGTAGCATTAATTCAAGAGAAAGTCACAAGCTAATACAAAATCTTTAAGGAGCTTGCATTACACAGTACATATGAGTCTTTGCTACAATATATGACTTGCAGGCCTCAAATAGTCTTTAATGGTGACATCATCCTCTCACCTTAAATTGCCTCTCATTCCTGCCTCACAGTTTGAGACACGTTGATACATTAAGTTTGATGCTCTAAATTTGCTGTGAACAAAGTAAAATGTAGCATTTAGCAAGCAAAACACATTGGATGCAGCTGTGTGACATTTCTGCTCCTAGCAATATTGAATGTAATGGCAAAAGCACCAAAAAAAGCTTCCGCAGATTGTCAATTACGTACATCATAAAGCAATAGATGTGTAAGTAAGCATCCGCAAGATCAAATCACCACACATTGAAAAGGGTACAGTGACCAAGTCTAGACTATTAAGGATATCCAGACCTCAAGGAAAGCATGACATCACACAATCCTGACTGCCACAGCCACAGTTCATAACAGGTTCAAATATAGGAATATACAGGATTAAAAGAACCAAAGAAACCCTTATCTACAGCCTGTGAGTTTGAATGTAAAATGTACTAAACAAAACCAAAACATCCCACCAGCCCCACATCCTGTTAATACATATTGATTGGATATAGACACTTCCAGAGTCAATGTTAATGAAGGACAGACCCCTAAGTAAAAATGATGGAATAATGTGGTAAATTGTTTGCTAAATAGCCATATGATGGCTAATCTACAAATATTTCTTAGGTTCTTTGGGTTCAGGAAAGCAACTTAAAACACCAGATTCAGAGCAAACTAGACAAACCAATAGATCATTTTCACGAACAGGTAATACACTTTGATTCTCTATTTAGAATTAAAGTCTAGGGTGGCAAGATAGCCAGTCCTAAAGAAGTGTGGTAGATACTCAAAATTGAGCTTTAAAGCCACAGTTTGGCATTAAAAATACTCACCCTCCAACAGTGTTAAGTTTAGTTGATTCCAGTTGTCTTGCAGCTTCTTCAGTTCTTTTCAATAATAAGACTTTCTGACTTAAATTGCGAAAATGCATTTCTTGGAGCAGAACGGAGCGCTTTTGTGATGCTTCAGTACGAGACAGTACCACCAAATTACCCGTCTCAGGAACAAACCTAACTATTGCTGCTTCAAGAGCCTTCTGAAATTCTTTGTGGGCTCCCTCCAGATTAGCACTGAAAGTACAAAATTTAATTTGTAAGAGAGAAAAGGTCAAACACAATTAGAGCAACAAATAAATATTAAAAACATGAACTTACGCATCTCTCAGATCTTCAGGTACTTGTATCTCAAATTTGAAAAATGTGTTACGATCAATAGGAGGATTTGTATTCTTTGGTCGAACCCGGTCCAGAGGTACGATTTCTGTATATGTGTTGTCCCATCCCAAATATTCTACAACATTAAAATCTCCTTTGGTCATTTTTACTATTGCTTTCCACCATCCTGAAACTTCCTGTTCTGTGGCACTTGAAAATACTTCCACCTCCTGCTTCTCTTCAACAACACCCTTGTTATCTTTAGGAGGCTCTCGAACTTGTGAGAAGGGAAACTTTGACTCAGATTGCCAACTGAAAAAAAAATTGGAATCAGTGATCACACATTTTAGGGTTAACACAACAGAAACTGAATTACCAATACATACTCATTTTCAAATGCAACTGACACGGAATCTTCAAATATGTCTGTAACATATCCCTACAACACAGAAAAAATTCTTATTAGTTTTAGTTGTAATATCATTGACTTTGAAAAGCTTCCTGAAAAAAACAAAACTTGATCCAAATTGTTTAAATATGTTAAAATCACATTCTTAGATAAAATCAAAAATAAGATAGTTTGTCAAAAAATTGAAGTGGAGTAGAAAAATGGGGGATGATTGAAAGCACCTTCCATCAATAATAACAATGAAATAAGTAAATCTGTTGAAACAGAAGATATTTTAAGAGGTTAAGCAGCATGACAACAATAATAATATATCCAAATATAAACAATACAAAGCAGTATCAAATTAACTGGTCTATTGTGTACAACAAATTAAAATAATAGTTCAATTTTGATTGGTGGGCATGTAATGATCTTAGAAATTCATTTAACAAGAAATTCGGTGCACATTTCTCCAACTTTCCTCCCGGCGCCCATTTGCAAAGAACATCACAGATACATCCAGGAAAATTCTCAGGTTAAAGAACTTTACCCGACAGACTTCTATGTTACGTATACTAAGGACGAAGTGTGATAGTGTGTTTTAGAGGGAGGACGGGGAATACTACATAAGCAGAACAGAGCAATGAAAATTCTGGTCTCATAGAGGGGCCTACGTTCGACGAGCCTATTCCAAAATTGTCTTAATTTCGGTTTTCGCAAGTAAATAAAAGACAACAAGACATTTCCAGTGTACTAAGAATAAGTGTTCACTGAGAGGAGAATTCTTACACATATAAATAACAAGTTAATGAGCTAAGTTCCGATGTGAAAAAAACACGCCCTGTCAAATGAGACATGGCGTCCGTGCAGCCCCTTAGACATTTCGCCTCAAAATAAAGTGAACCATCGCGCCATGAAGGCTGTTTTAAAACGTAAATCACGCACCGATCGACGCAGAAACAAATATTGTTCTTTCAATACACAATAGTCGCATACTTCAATTGATACACACCTTGTAATAGGCGCCGTTTTCGCCGCATACCTCGACTGCGAGTTCATCCATTTTGTTCTTGTACAACAACGAGCGCGGAGTGCGTTCTCTTCTCACTCCATCCAGGCTTGCCGCCGCAAGGCGTCTGCGCCATGTTGAGATGAGTTGCACTGTTTCTACCACCAGATAGCAGCACACGGAGGGATAAATCTCGTTATTCCCCGTGCTTGTCCTTGTGATTGTTTCTTAATTGCCGCTCATCCACAGAATGACAATGATGCTCTTTAGTCATCGGCCTTGTTTGTTAGAGTGGCGAGTGACTTCAATTCGTGAGACGCATGCATTAGACGCGTAAAATCGCGCGGGCAGCGCCAAGCACCGGTCGGTGTCTGGTCATTCCACTGAAAATATTGAAAATGCTCAAGAGTCATCGAGGTCGAGGAGGCGAGGCGGCGGCGAGGGGTTGTTCACCGCAACCCTCGAAGACGCACTTCTCCCCACCAGACATTGCTCGCGGGGAGAAATCATTACGGTCTTCACAAAACACAGTCCTTACAGAATTAAAAGAGCGTTAATTTGACGAAAAAATTGTCAATTTGAAGAAAATGTGGCCCCCAAGTTGATGAAACTTCATCGAATTTTCATCAAATTTACGTCTATTCGTTTGACCAGAGGAGGAAAATTGAGAGAAGAAAATTGCAGATTGCAGTCCCGTAAGTTAATTTCACTGCCGCATAAGTGAACTAAAGTGAACCAGGGCGGGG